TGAGGGCGTTCAGGGGGCATGGATTCTCACTAGGAGGCCAAGACCTCCCCTGCTGGCCGCCCTTCCCTGGGAGAGCCTGTCCCTTCCCTCCTCTTAGTTCATAACCTTGCTTGGGACATGGTACCCTCAAGAAAATAGAGCCTGGGCTTGAGCAGTACAGTGGCACTGTCAGGAAGGAGTTGGAGGGGGTGGGGAGCCAGGGAAGCATGTGCATGGGGCACATGAAGTCCAACCGGGTCTTCTCCAGGCTGTTGAGACTTGAAGATGTGCTCTTTGCTCTAAGACACAACTTTCCAGTTCTTTGGGGAGCAGAGAGGAACCTCTCTTCTGGGGTCCAGCTGCCTGTTGTCACTGAGGGTCTTCCCCTTGGGTGGGCTCTGCTTCCCTCAGAGTATGTTCCTGGTTCCTCTCATCATTTTTGCTTATTTTTTAATTTTTAAATGTTTTTAAATGTTTATTTATTTTGAGGAAGAGAGAAAGGGAGAGGCAGTGAGAGAGGGAGAGAGGATCCCAAGCAGGCTCTGCACTGTCAGTGGAGCTCAAACTCACAAACTGCAAGATCATGACCTGAGCTGAAATCAAGAGTTGGATGCTTAACCAACTGAGCCAGCCAGGAACCCCCTCCTCTTATCCTTTTAAATGTAGTAAATACGGGTCTCACATAAGGCTTGGGGACACTGGGTGAATCTTTGCTTTTACGTCATATCTGTTATTTCAGGGCTCAGTGCAGGACTTGCATCCCAGGCCAACCTGACACCAAAATCTGTCTAGTTAACAACTCTGCTTAAGACAGCATGATGGCAAGTTCTTATGATCAGGAATGGTCTGCCCCTCCATAATTGGCAGAGACATGATCATGAGCATATGTCAGATAGGAAAGGAGGGAGAGAAGGAGAGTGCACATCAATACTCAATGGAGATAATGAGGATTAACGAAAGTGCCTTACATTGGGTTATGAATGGGAAAGGCTGGGATCTGCAAGTGTGTATTATTATTCTTATTCTACTAAAAGAGAAACTGATCTTCAGGGGATTTACCCATCAGATCCAAGCAGCAGGAAGATGTGGAGGTGAAGTGTGAGTCATGTGTGACTAACTGCAGAGCCGGCTCTTTTTCTGCTCCATGGAAAGTGATCTCCAGGTGCCATGAACATAACTTCAGGATGGGATGTCTAGCTTCAAAACAAAGAGCCAATCTCCTGACATTTGAGGGAAGCTGCCAGCATGTAAGAGAGGCCAAAACAACAGGAAAAAAAAAAAAAAAAGAATTCAGAAACAAAGGTCTCAGAGTGAAGATGCTGCAAAGAGCAGAAGAAAACCTCAAAGAAACTATCATTGATAATCTGAGAGAATGGAAAGAATGTTACACACTGAAACAAGAACAAGATGCCACAAGAAGGGGAACAATGAGAGAACATGTACATTTAAGTGATAGAAAAGATAGTCAAGGAAACCTTTCAGAGAGTTAAACAGAAAGAAACAGAGATAGATAACAGGATAAAAGAGATAAGAAAATTAGATCTATGTGAGATTCACCATCAATCTGACTGATTCCATTTCCTGATAGAACAGAGACAACTGTCAGGGGGAAAATATATATCTTCTTATATCTTATGATATATGGTATCTCATATCATATGTTTATATCTATATCTATCTGTATCCATCTACAGCTAAAACCCACAATAAACATTTTCAGATTGAGTTCGCTGACTGTCCGGTGCAGTAAATGAAAACAAAAGAAACCTAAACCTCTCACCAAGGCTCATTATTGTGAAATCTTAGAACACCAGGATATAAAAGATCTTAGGGAGATGATTTCTGGAATGGTGTCAAGAAAAGCTCCACAGATCTTCTCTCCAATAAAACAATGATAACCAATGAAATTTAATTTAAAAATCCTCTAGAAAGTATCCTAAAGACATACAGCAAATAAAGTAACATTTGGTTAAGATCTACTAAAACTTGGTAAGAAGGATGGGAGACTGTGTCACTTGAGCTGTGACTTGCTTCCTCCCTCTCTCTTTCCAGCTCACAGTAACAGAAGTACCACTCCAGGAGAGTACAGCCAAGAACACAGGGCTCTTGCTACCCTTGCTCCCACTTGAGGGCTACTGTATCTCTCTGGGGGTGACAGACCACTAGCATTTACCATTTCCCTCATCCCTGTGTTGCAGAAGTTCTATTTCAGGAAAGAGTAGCTAAGAGGACTAGGACTTTCTTCCTCAACCCATCCCCAACTCGTAGGGTGAGAAATCTATCCTGAACATGGCAGGCTGAGAATATTTGGGCCCTGATCTTCATCACTCTGCTTCACTCATAGAGTTTCCACACTGGGAGAGGCTAGTTTAGAAAACCAGAGGCTACTGCTCCAGCCCAACACCCTTGTAATGTAGGGGACTCACCCCAAGACACCCACCTTAAAGGTTTGGTACAGGGAGAGAGGATGGCCCTGAGAACAGAGCCCTGAAGCTCTCCCCAAGGGAACTGATTTTATTTGGAACAGAGGATGGGGAAACTCAAGCCTATGGGTGCTCTCAAAAACAATGGAGATATTGGTGGTAAGCAACGGAGATAAAACTGGTAGCTCCATGAGAAAAACAAGCTAAACATTTAACCAGCTAGAAGTTTACCAGAGAGAAGGGAAAGAGACAGCTGAGAAGAGCCCTTCTGGGTTCAAAATAGATCTCAAAGTCTAGCCTCAAAGACAGCCCTTGCAAAGGGGCTTAATTTAATTGGATTAGACTGTGAAGCAATTTATGACCTAGGCCATTGTTGAAAATGATAGAGTAATCAGTTAACAATTAGTGGAGACTAACAGCTGGGTGTGATACCAACAGAGACAGCTTAACAGAAAGTCGAGGAAAGAGACAAAGCCCTGCTGAAACCACTGTCATCCCAAGGTGACAGTGCAACACGCCCAAGGTTGTGCCTTTTAGGAGTGACATCAGAGGCTGCACACTGCAAAAGAAATACTTTTTAAAATAGTCCAGCCAGATCACTAAATAAATTAGCAAATTGCAAGAGTGAACTGTGTTGGGGTTGAGGCTAATATCCAATTGCTGCAGTATATTATCTAAAATGTTAATATACTTTTATACTACAAGTGTACATGCATAATATAGTAAATAAATAAAATACAGTTTTCAACAAAAAAATATGAGACATGCAAAGAAACAGGAGTGTTACCAATACACAAGAAAAAAGGAGTAAACAACAAAGCTGCCTCTTGGTCCCGATGTGAGACGTAACATGCAAAGACTTTACAGGAGTCATTATAAATCTGTTCAAAGAACCAAAGGAGGAGAGCGTGGGTGGCTCAGTCGGTTAAGCGTCCGACTTCAGCTCAGGTCATGATCTCGCAGTTTGTGTGTTTGAGCCCCACATTTTGTGCTGACAGCCTGGAGCCTGCTTCAGAGTCTGTGTCTCCCTTTCTGCTTCTCCCGTGCTCATGCTCTGTCTCTCAATAATAAATAAACATTTAAAAAAAAGAACCAAAGGAAACCATGCATATAGAAGTAAAAGAAAGTACAATGATACTATCTCATCAAATGGCATCCATAAAGAGATAGACATTATATGAAAGAACCTAATGGAAATTCCGAAGTTGAAAAATATAAGAACTGAAATGAAAAATCCACTAGAGAGGCTCAAAGTAGATTTAAGCTGGCAGAAGAAAGAATCAGCAAACTTGAAGATAGATTGATAGAGAATATGCAGTCTGAAGAAGAGAAAAAGGATTTAAGAAAAATGTACACAGCTTTAGAGAGGAGTGGGATACTGTTTAGTGCACCAACATAAGCATGATAGTACCAGAAAGAGAGGAGAAAGAGAAAAGAACATAAAAAATATTTGAAGATGGGATGCCTGGGTGGCTTAGTCGGTTAAGCGTCCGACTTTTGCTTAGGTCATGATCTCCCGGTTCGTGGGTTCGAGCCCCGCATCGGGCTCTGTGCTGACTGCCAACTCAGAGCCTGGAGCCTGTTTCAGAGTCTGTGACTCCCTCTCTCTCTGACCCTCCCCTGCTCACGTTGTCTCTCTCTTTCTCTTTCCTAGAAATAAATTTTTAAAAAAATATTTGAAGAAAGAATGGCTGAAAACTTCCCAAATTTGATGAAAAACATTACACATCTAAGATGCTTAATGAACTCCAAGTAGGATAAACATGAAGAGATACACACACACACACACACACACACACACACACACGCATACATTGTAGTAGCTTTTTGAAAGTCCGGGACAAAGAAAAATCTTGAAAATAGCAAGAGAAAAATGACTTGTTATATCCAAGTAAACCCTAATAAAAATAACAGCTACTTTCTCATCAAATACAATGGAGGCCAGAAGGCAGAGCGATGACATATTCAAAATGCTGAAAGAAAAAAACTGTCAACCCAGAATCTTATATTCAGCAAAACTAGCTTTCAAAAATGAAAGTGAATGGGGCGCCTGGGTGGCTCAGTCGGTTAAGCATCTGGCTTTGGCTCAGGTCATGATGTCGTGGTCTGTGAGTTCGAGCCCCACGTGGAGCTCTGTGCTGACAGCTTAGAGCCTGGATCCTGCTTCAGATTCTGTGTCTCGCTCTCTCTCTCTGCCCCTCCCCCACTTGCACTCTTCTCCTTGCTCTCAAAAATAAATAAAACATTAAAAAAAATTTTTAAGTGAAAGTGAAATAAAGACATTCCCAACTAAGAATTGAGAGAATTGGTGACCAGCAGACCTATCTTATAAGTTGTACTAAAGGAAGTTCTTCAGACTGAAAGCAAGTGAACCCAGAAAGTAATTCAAAACCATATGAAAAACCAGAGTGCTGGTAAAGTAATTATAAAAGACAGTATGTTAGAAGGCAATTGTATAGAACAATATCTATAATTGTATCGTTCGGTCTATAACCTATAGAAATGGAATAAATTTGACAATAACAGCAGAAAGGAGGTGGGTGGAAACTGCTGTATTGGAGTAAGGCAATAACAACAAGTTTTAACTTGGATCCACAGGAACAAGTGAAGACATCAAAATGGGTAAGTAACAAACTATATATACTGTTCTCTCAGCTTCTTTCAAAAACATACAAATATATAAATGTAATAATCTCAACAATGTACTGTTGAATATGTAATGTATAGACATTTATAAACATAATTTATAAATGTATTAACATATATAACAACAATATCTAATAATAATAGCACAAGGAAAAGAGAATGCTATTTACTGATGAGAATGTAACTAAGAAATGTGGTGTTGTGATACTGAAAGGAGAGGAGAAAGGGTGTAAGTGAACTTCACTTGTCATGGTAGGAAGACCAAAGAGACGGTATCTAGATTGGACCTCTCTGGAGATAGCAATAATAGCAATAAATGCTTTATTTAGGAGTCAAAAACCAGAGGAAACAACTGAATGAGCCAGAGTAGTTGCTTTTGGAGAGCAGAACAGAGTGGGCTGAGAGAGTGCTGTTTCTGTTACAGCCCTTTAGCCCACTTTGACTCTGCAAACGCTTTGCATGTATTACCTTGGAAAATAAAAATTAAAAGACATGAGGAGAAACCGTGACAACAATAAGGGTCTTCCCTTTTGAGAGTTTCCTGTCCTCTGAAGCAATTCCCCTTTAAAAACTGAGCAAATCGTTCTATCCAGTTTGTTCAGTTATGCCACAAAGTGCATTCTCACCCTTAGAAGTGTGCCTGGGAGGCAGGCCTTGGTGGGGTTCTTATGAGGGTCAAAGGAGAAGGTGCTTTGTAAAACAGGAAGTGGCATGGTTTGTAGCTGGCTGGTATTAGGCATGGCAGAAGGAAATATCTCCAATTTACACATACAAAAAAAGAGACCCCCCAAAAGGGAAGTAGCCTTCCAAATCACACAGCCAGGTAGTGGCGCAGCTGGAGTTCTGACCGCCTGTCCTGTTTCTACTCAGCTGGCTTCAGGCACAGCTACCTCTTAGCACTCATGCTTCCTCCTCTCCCCTCTCCCCCAGGCAGCCCCCACCCCTTGCCTTCCAACACTGTCCACAACTTCCCTGGCTCTGAGCCCCACCTGGAGGGTAATCCTTAATGTGAGGGCCCTGATGCCATCACAGACTGAGCTCTCACCCTGGCCACACTGGGAGCCCTGATCCTGGTCATAGACAGTCCTGATGCTGGTGGCAGACAGAGCCCTCACCCCCTTGCCACTAGCTTCCTTAATAGTGTTTACAACTGAACATGAGTTGGGCCTGGCCTAGAAGACATGGATGGCCGGGTCCCATCCCCTCTAGGGCCATCTCAGGGACAGAGCTGGTGCAGCTGCGGCCTGGCTAAACTTTCTGACGTGGTTTCCCTCCGTCTTGGACAAGACTCAAAGCCACAATCTGTGCCCAGTCCATTTCTGTCCCCTCCCACTGCTCCTCCTTGTGCGGGTGGAGGATTGTGGGGCCCATGGTGCACTCTGTGATGAGTCATCCTTGCTCAAAACAAACGAGTCTGGCATCGAAAGCACTTTTTACAGCTTCTCTGCTGCAAGGGAGTAATCTCACTAATCAGAATATTCAAATACAACCTTGAACTGGCTGCTTCCCACACTGGACTCTTCACTCCCATCTTTCACCAGGTCAGCATTTCTCCAACATGGTTTCCAGGAGTTGCCGGAACACTGGCTTATTGCAGCTGCTGCCCTGCTCTTATTGATGGATGTTTCCTCTAGGCAGCCCTCTAGGGTCAGTTGGGAGGGAGGCCGACTTCTAGCCACTCTTATCTCTTATCAGCCCCAGGAGAGGTCCCAGAGCTGGACAAGTCAAATAATTAGGAAGGACTTCCTTCTGTCCCCTCCTCTGTCTCCCTAGGCCTTCTCCAAGAGTCCTCTGCTGGCCTTGAGGGCCACGCAGTCTCCCCTTCTGCCCAAGGCTGATCTTTAATACCAAGAATCCACACTCTGCTCTGCTTCCATGTCACTGTGGGACCTTAGGAAAGTTCCTCTGCTGTGGACCTACTTCTCACCGTGTCTGGTGAAGGGTCAGGAAAGCCTTACAGCTTCCTGTCTGCCTTGACATTTTATGACTCAGTGGTACATCAAGACCATCATCCTGTGCCTGCTCCCTGCTGCGCTCTTGTCTTCTCCCCTCCAGGTATCCCAGACCAGACCCAGCATCTGCTACTGCCCCACCTTGACCTTCCACCCCTCCTGGGCACCAAGTCTTTCCCTGAAGGGGAACATAGGCACTGCATCTCTGAGTCTACTGTCCTGGATTTTAGTGGGCTTTTGAGGAATGCTGAATGAATGAATGAGTTGATTACTTTGAAAGAAGCCCCTAAAACATTTCAGCCTCCTTCTCTACATCTATTTAATGTGTTTATCTTCTACACTCATGCTGTGAAAGGCAATGTTCATTAAAAACACCACAACCCTTGGATGTATGAGCCCTTCCCAGTTCTCTTACCGTTGACACCCTGAGGTTAGGGCAAGTCCACTGAGGGGTGGGGTGGGGAATGGAGGGTAGGTGGAATGGGCTTGGCAGTTTGTGGCTGTTGCTTCAGGGGAAACCACAGCTACCTCCTCCTCAGGGTGGTCAGTGAGGCCCAGGGGAAGAGAGGATCACTTTCAGGGTGGTCCCTGGCCACTGAGTCACCACCCAGAGGAAAACCACAGCTTCAAGAGCCCCAAGGCTTAAGAAAAGGTGGCAGGGTGAGCTGGGCGAGCACCAGCACTCGAGCACTTGGACAGCCTCCTCACCTCAAGAGCCATCCCTATCCTGTGTGGCAAGGAGAACCTATTTTAAGATGTGAGAAAGAATGGATCGGTCACAGATCCCTGTGTAACAAGACAGAGCAAGAACAAGAACCACCCCTCTCTGATCTCCTCTTTCCTGATCCCTCAGGAAAATGGGGACAATTCTTGAATTTGAGGAAATTCATCTAGGATATCCTCACCTGAAGATTCATGGTCTGCAACTTAGCTTATACAACAATTTTACCATCATCACAGGTTGCTGCTGTACGTAATAACCATGCAGCATAACCATTGCATTGTAATAACCATGAAATGTCTTCTTCTGTCAGTCTTCTCCTTCTTCTTTGTAGGAAAATGAAATAATCTGAAGTCTCATCTGTGTGCAATGGAAGCTAAAACACACACATACCACACACAAAGATAATGTCTCCAGACTCTCCAGATTTTCTCTTCCTCATAGCTTCTGCAAATTCTTTGTTTCTACTTCATCTTTTAGCTTACTCGGCATGACCTCTGAGCTCAGACATAGCTTCATGGCCTCTCTGATACTCCCCCTTTCAACTTTCTCAGCCTCAAACTCTTAAATTCCAAAGAGAGGAACTTCCAGCCATGGTAGAGGTCATTGGTTTTAGGGTTGAATCTTCCCTGGTAAACAACTATAAATCCTCAGAATAAAATATATGTAACAATAGTTTGCAGGCACTAGACAACAGCCAGTGTAGGGTTATGATCATTGACAGACAGAGGGCACACAGGTGAGCCCTAAATTTACCCAGTTTTCCCCCTGAGGCTGTTTTCCAAAATGAAATGCAGGGAGTTGGATCAAGAAGGAAGTGAGTGTCTCACTCGGCACCCCCCTCCCCAGCCAAATTAGATATGTGCACTTGGATTTGGAGTGTAGGATGGAAACATCTTTGTAAAAATTCCTTTTGGTTTCTTGGTCAACCCCTAACCTGCACATGTTTCAGGGTGAGGCTTTGAAAGATCCAGCAGAGAAGCCTGGGAGCTGGGCAGACTGCAGAGGCTGAAAATCCTGGGGACACTTTAAATTTTTAAATTTTGTTTACATTTATTTATTTTTGAGAGACAGAGAGAGACAGAGCACAAGTGGGGGGGAGGGGCAGAGAGAGAATGAGACATAGAATCCAAAGCAGGCTTCAGGCTGTGAGGTGTCAGCACAGAGCCTGACGTGGGGCTTGAACTCACAAAACGTGAGATCGTGACATGAGCCAAAGTCAGAAGCCCAACTGACTAAACCCTTCAGGTGCCCTACTCCCCAGGACACTTTAAAATTCAGGCCCAAGTAAAGGGGAGCGATATTGGTAAGTATTCCAATAAGGATTCTAGAAAGGCTATACCCTAGGAGTAAAGGCTAAACTCTAGAAGAAAGGGCAAAACTGAAGACTTTCAGGCTTAAGAAAGCCTAAAACCAAACCTCTGCAGATGAAGGTGATCCACTGGTAGTTTACATGCTTCCCAGAACGCAACCTAACACTTGTCAGAGGAAGATAGTAAGATTTACAGATTCTAAAGTGTAGTCACTACAAGCAAGAATTATTAGATCTATGAAGAAACAGGAAAACATGACACAGAATCAAAAGATAAAAGAGGTAATGGGTTGAGAGATGATCCAGATATTGGATTTAGCAAACAAGGGGTTTAAATCAAGTAAGAATGGGACACCTGGGTGGCTCAGTCAGTTAAGCGTTCAGCTCTTGATTTTGGCTCAGATCATGATCTTGTGATTCGGGAGTTTGAACCCTGCAGCACAGAGCCTGCTTGGGATTCTCTGTCTCCTGTCTCCCTCCCTCTCAGCCCCTCCCCTGCTTATGCTGTGTCTCTCTAAAAAGTAAATAAATAAACTTTTAAAAAATAAAATAAATAAGGTTAATATATTGAAGAGAATAGAACAAAAGATGGGTAAAGTGAGTGAAAAGACTGAGTATTTAAACAGAACATTTGAATCTATAAAAATGAAAAAGTGACACTGGAGGCTGCAGAATAAAATATTTGAAATTAAGAACGTGCTGTATGGGTTTAACAGAAGATTGGATACAGCAGAAGACAGGGTAGTGACCAGTCAATAGAAATTATCCAAATTTGGGGCGCCTGGGTGGCTTAGTCGGTTAAGCGTCCGACTTTCGCTCAGGTCATGATCTCGCGGTTCGTGGGTTCGAGCCCCGCGTCGGGCTCTGTGCTGACTGCCAGCTCAGAGCCTGGAGCCTGTTTCAGTCTGTGACTCCCTCTCTCTCTGACCCTCCCCTGCTCACGCTGTCTCTCTCTCTCCTAGAAATAAATAAAACATTAAAAAAAAAAAAAAGAAATTATCCAAATTTAAGCATGGAATGAACAAAAATAGAGTAATAAACAGAACTGACCATAAGAGGTGTGTAAGACATGCTCAAAAAGTCTAATATGTGTTTTGAATCTCACAAGGAGAGAAGAAAAAAAAATAGGACAAAAGCAATATTTGAAGACGTCATGACTGAGGATTTTCCAAATATGAAGAAAGACATCAAGCCACAGATTCAAGAATATCAATGAGCTCCTAGCAGGGTAAGTGTAAAGAAAACTATGCCTAGGCCTATCATAGTTAAATTTCTGAAAATTTAGACAAAGCATAAAATCTTTTTTAAAAAAAATTTTAAAAATGTTTTCTTTATTTCTGAGAGAGAGAGAGAGAGAGAGACAGCATGAACAGGGGAGGGTCAGAGAGAGAGGGAGATACAGTATCTGAAACAGGCTCCAGGCTGTGAGCTAGCTGTCAGCACAGAGCCCGATGTGGGGCTTGAACCCACGAACTGTGAGATCATGACCTGAGCCGAAAGCAACCATTTCATTTATTTATTTATTTATTTGTTTGTTTGTTTGTTTAGAGACAGTGTATGGGAGGGGCAGAGAGAGAGAATACCAAGCAGACTCCGTACTATCAGTGCAGAGGCTGACGCAGGGGTTGAACTTATGAACCATGAGATCATGACCCGAGCTGATGTCGAGTTAGAGCCACCCAGGTAACCCTAAAGCAACCATATTTCTAAACAGAGAGGACAGAATATCAATGATACACTTGGTGGCTGACTATGGAAGCCAGAAAACTATGAAATTACATTTTTAAAGTGCTAACAGAAAAACCCCTGTCAATTTAGTCTATGCCCAGCAAAATATTCTTAAAAAATAAAGGCAAAATAAATGTGTCCAGATGACAAAAATTGAAAGAATTTCGTTTGTCAGAAGTACACATCTCTACCACAGGAAGTTCTTTTTTTTTAAAGATTTTATATTTAAGGGGCACCTGGGTGGCTCAGTCGGTTAAGCATCTGACCTCGGCTTAGATCATGATCTCACAGTCCATGAGTTCGACCCCTGTGTTGGGTTCTGTGCCAGAGCCTGTGTTCGACCCCTGTGTTGGGCTCTGTGTCAGTTCAGAGCCTGGAGCCTGCTTCAGATTCTGTGTCTCTCTCACTCTCTATCCCTCCCCCGACTTAACTCTCTATCTCTTGAAAAATGAATAAATGTTAAAAATTTAAAAAAAAAAAGATTTTATATTTAAGTAACCTTTACACCCAATGTGCAGCCTAAACCCATAACCTTGAGATCAAGAGTCATACACTCCACCAACTGAGCCAGCCAGGTGCCCTACAAGAAATCCTTAGGGAGTTCTATAGGCTGAAAGAAAATGACCTCTGATGGAACTGCAGGAAGGAATGAAGACTATGGGCAAAGGGTAAGCATGTATATGATTATAAGTTATTATTGAGTATTTTAAATAACAAAAATATCTCATAATAATTTAACATAAAAATAAATGTACAACAATAGCACCAAAGATAGGAGAGAACTAAATGGAGTTATAAAAAGCTAATAGTTGAGGAATGCCTGGGTGGCTCAGTTGGTTAAGCATCCAGCTTCAGCTCAGATTATGATCTCATCTCACAGTTTGTGAGTTTGACACCCACATCAGGCTCTGAGCTCTCAGTGCTGAGTCTGCTTTGGATCCTCTGTCTCCCTCTTCTGTCTCCTTCTTTCTCTGCCTCTCCCTCTCTCTCAAAAATAAACATTAGGGGAAAAAAGCTAATAGTTGAGCAAAATGGAATAACAACCGCAATAATAAAAACTTGATTAACCCAAAGGGAAGTGAAAAAAGGAATAAAAGTACAAAGAATAAGTAGAAAACAAATAGCAAGATACATTCAACTGTATCAGTAATTACAATGAATGTAAATAGTATAAATATGCCATTAAAAGACAAGGATTATCAGATTTGATAAAAAACCAAAATTCAATCCTGCTGCCAACAAAAGGCTCACTTTAAGTAGAAAAACACAGAAAGTAAAGGAAAAGGTTATAGAGCAGATGCCTATAAACATTAACCAAAGAAAGCTGATATGGATACATTAATATTAGAAATACAGGCTTTTTAGAAATATTATGAGAGGAAAAGAAGGATATTTCATAATGTAAAATTCCCAAGGAGTTATCTATTTGTCCCACTTGTACAGCCAGACCAGGTTTCAAGCCACCATCAGCTGTGAATTGGCTGCCCTTCCCCATCCCCAAATAAACTGGGGCTGGGAGAACTGCCCTTTCAGCAGCTCTGAGGGGGAGGGTATGGGCCACTTGCCACCCTAGTCACAGTCACTCTGTTTGAGGTCTAAAAGAGTACCCAGATATGTCTCCCTCATCGTAGGCAAGCGCTCAGCTGCTAGGGATTCAGCCTGAATCTGGGGTGCACAATCACTCCAAGCTTGCCTCTGGAGTGGCCTACAGGGCCTGTGACCTTAGCGTGGGGGTTGATAGTCCTCTCTGGAGAATTCCATCTTGCTGGTCTTAACCACCATCCCCATGGTCAGTGACCATGTGGGCTCCTGGCTGGTGGCTCAGCCCATTCCCTCAGCCTAGTGAACAGGCAGGTCTTTGCCACTCAGTTGTTGGGCAGGTGGTTTAGGGCAGGGCCCGCAGCTCCCCAGCACGGCCACCTTAGCACATCATCACTTGATTTCTGTGGCCTTCCTCTTCTCTGCTTCAGAGAAGGTGTGGGACCCAGACATTGTGTCTGGGTCTCTGTGGCTGTAGATCTAGCCCCTGCCTCAACTGCTAGCTCTGATCTCTAGTATTTTCCTGTTTCAGACACCATTCCAGCCTTCCCGCACCAACAGCTCCTGCCCCACTGTTGGAATCCCTCCCTCTGAAAGAAGAGATGAGATACCTTTCATGGTTCCCTATCTCTGGCTCTCCTTCCTCCCCATTCTGCTGTATTTCAAGGCCCTGCCCACATGGTTTGACAGGCTTCAACACAGCTCTTGGCTGGCCAGCCCAAGCCCCACTCACCTGGGTGGATCCTGGTCCACTTCAGGTCATAGCCTGTGTTAATTTGGGCACAGGCACCCCTTGTACTCACAAGAGTCATTATCTGTCCTGTGGAGTCTAATGTTCCCTGTCAGGCTTTATTAGCTGTGGCAGGTACATAGCATGCAATGATTATGCTGAAAGATATTACTTGGCTTTAACCTTGTTCAGTGTGTTATGGGATTAAAGAGTATGGGCTCTGTAGACAGGCCTGGGCTTGAACCCCGTCTCTGTGATTATGGACATGTGACATAACCTCTTTGAATCTAAACTTACTCGTCTGTAATATGGGTTAATATCTACTTCCTAGGAGTGTGGTAAGGAATAAATAAGATGATATGTGTAAAGTGCTTAGGCACACTGCCTGCTACATAAATAATGCCTACTTACACAGATGTTAGACTGTTATTTCTAAAGACCTTTGCTTTGTTATAAGTATTCTTTAAAAACATTTTTTTTAACATTTATTTATTTTTGAGAGAGAGAGAGAGAGGGAGGGGCACACACACAGAATCTGAAACAGGCTCCAGGCTCTGAGCTGTTAGCACAGAACCTGATGCGGGGCTCGAACTCACAAACCATGAGATCATGACCCAAGCCAAAATCAGACACTTAACTGACTGAGCCACCCAGGTGCCCCTAAATATTCTTTTCTTAATTGAGACATGATTGACATAAATTATATTAGTTTTGGGTATACAACATAATGATCTGATATTTGTATATATTGTAAAATTATCTCCACAATAAGTCTAGTTAATACCCATCACCATACATAGTGACACATTTTTTTTCTTGTGGTAAGAACTCTTAAAATCTACTCTTTTACAAACTTTCAAATAACTATACTACAGTATTGTTATTAACTATAGTCACCATGCTGTTGCCATTCCAGGACTTATTTATAACTGGAAGTTTGTACCTTTTGACACCCGTCACCCATTTTGTCCATCCCCCAGACCCCACCACTGGCAACCATCAATCTGTTCTCTATATCTATGAGCTTGTTTTCTCTGTTTGTTTTTGTTTTAGATTCCACATTTAATGAGATCATATAGTATTTATCTTTCTTTGTCTGACTTATTTCACTTAGCATAATGCCTTCAAGTTTCAACCATATTTTAGAAAATGGCAAGATATCATTCTTTAAGAAAAAGATTTTTTTAATGCTTATTCATTTTTGAGAGAGAGAAAGAGAGCTCAAGTTGGGAAGGGGCAGAGAGAGGGAGACACAGAACCCGAAGCAGGCTCCAGGCTCTGTGCTGACAGCTCAGACATGGGGCTCGAACTCACAAACCACGAGATCTTGACCTTAGCCAAAGTTGGATGCTTAACCGATTGAACCACCCAGACACCCCAAGATTTCATTCTTTTTTATGGCTAAATAATATTCCATCGTACATATAGACCACATCTTCTTTATCCATTCATCCGCTGGTGCATACTTAGGTTGCTTTCATGTCTTGATTTTTTTTTTTAAATAATTTTCTAGGAAAAAATTTTTTTAAATGTTTTATTTATTTCTGAAAGAGAGAGCGAGAGAGAGCATGAGTAGGGGAGGGTCAGAGAGAGAGGGAGACACAGAATCTGAAACAGACTCCAGGCTCTGAGCTGACTGTCAGCACAGAGCCCAATGTGGGGCCTGAACCCATGAACTGCAAGATCATGACCTGAGCTAAAATCGGACGCTTAACTGACTGAGCCACCCAGGCGCCCCTTGACTGTTGTTAATAATGCTGCTATGAACATGAGGTTGTGTATAGCTTCTTTAATTAATGTTTTCCCCCCTTCAGATAAGTACCCAGAAGTGGAATTGCTGGGTCAAATGGTAATTTTATTTTTAAAATTTTTGGGAATCTCCATACTGTTTTCCATTGTGACTCCACTAATGTATGTCCCCACCAACAGTGCAAAAGTGTTCCCTTTTTCCATGTCATTGCCTACACTTGTTCTTTCTTGTCTTTTTGGTAATGGCCATTCTAACAGGTGTGAGGTGATAATTCATTGTGGTTTTGATTTGCATTTCTCTGATAATGAGTGAGGTTGAGCACCTTTTCATGTACCTGTTGGTCATCTGTATGTCTTCTTTGGAAACATATCTATTTAGATTCTCTGTCCACTTATAAATATTTTAAGAGACCATATTTCTTTTTTGTTGTGGTTCAGTTTTTCTATTGGGGGTGGATTTTTCTAGTTTTTTA